ATCTTCCTTCTGAGGAGTGGCTGGTGGGTTTGAACCGCCAGCCTTCTGGTTAGCAGTCAAGTGCCTTAGGCACTATGCTACCAGAGCTCCCATCATGTTCATATAGCTTCTTTTATCTTTCTCAAACCTGGAAGAGTACGTAGATGTGAAGGTCGTCTCGAAGCATAGGATGAGAAGTCAAGGAGTCTAGCCCCAGCTTTGCCTTTAAAGCCCTATGTGACCTTAGATAAAAGTCATTTCCCTTTCTTGCATATTATTTCCCTTATCTGCAAAATAATAAGGTAAAACTGATTGATTTCCAAATTTGTTGAGTCTTTTATTAATAGGCCATGCTGGAAAGTGGTAAGATCATGCTAGCAAGGGCTGCCAGGCTTTAGTTTAGAATCTCTGAAGATTGGGGAGGTAAGCAAGGGCTTCTGTGACCAACCTTATTGTGCTTGTGTCAACCCTCAGATATGGCAAGCGAGTGGCAGACATAAAGGAAAGCAAGGAACATGTAATTGCCAACAGGTAAAGATGGGGAATGGGCTCTTTGAGAGAAGATGGAATAGGAATCTCTGTTTACCTAAGCTATCCCCAGTTTCTGTACAGCCTTTTTGCCTCAACCCATGAACTTCTGTTTTCTCAGAGTCTAGTGTTTTCTTACCAAGTCTAACTTTTGCACTGAAACTTTCTCCTGCTGGACACCCTTTTGTTTATTTATTTAAACTTTTCATTGTGATTTGGGTGAAAGTTTACAGAACAAATTGGTTTTATATTCAACAGTTCAGATGCATTTTGTTTTGTGACATTGATTGCAATTCCCATAATGTAACAGCACTCTTCCCATTTCCTCCCTGTGTTTACTGTTTCCATTTGTCCTTCTTTTCTATTCCTTCCTGCCTTCTGAGCTTTATCTCTGGGCAAACGTTGTCCTTTTTGATCTCATATGGTTGGTTGTTCTAAGGAGCACATACCTTCCTGGTGTTACTGTTTACCATATAGGCCTGTCTATGTTTGGTTGAAAGTTGAGCCACCCACATGAGTTTAGTTCCAGCCTTTCAGGGTGACTAGGGACCATAGTCTTGGGGGTTCAACCAATCTCTATTGGACTAGTAAGCCTGATCTTTTTTTTTTTTTTAATTAATTTGAGTTTTGTTCTACAATTTTCTCCCTCTCTGTCCAGGACCTACTACTATTGTGATCTCTCTCAGAGTGGTCAGCAATGATAGCTGGGTACCCTCTAGTTCTTTTGGTTTCATGGTTGTAGAAGGTGGGGGTTCTTGTGGGCCATTAGTCCTTTGGGTTAATTGTTTTCTTGCTTGACACCCTTTCTGAATGAAGCTTTCCTCTACACTGCCTGTGGAGGGCTTTTAAGGGTGGGAGAGGCATCATTTTCTAGTTTCTACCTTCCTTCCTCAGCGGTCAATTTCACTGCCAACGGCGACATTTCCTGCGGATAGCAGTGAAGGAGCTGGAGATTGTGTTAACAGATGAACCAGGACTACTGGGTCCCAAGGCAAGAGAAAGAAATGTTGGGGTAAAGGGATATGGTAACGAAGGATAAGGGACTCTGTGGAGAGGAGGTGTTTTGGCATTAATGAATTTTTGTATTTCTGAGTCTTTTGTGATCTGTATTCGATCCCCTTGAATCTTCTTGGAGTAGTACAAAACACTTTATATATATTTTTTGGGCTCTGATCATAGTATGTCATGCATTACAGCTATTTGTGTACTTCTCTTATCTTCTGTTTGAGTGTGAACTAGTAGAAGACAGATTTTTTTTTTTAAATTTAAATCTTATGTTGTTGTTGTTATGTGCCATCGAGTCGGCCCGACTCATAGCGACCCCTCCTTGGGTT